ACTTTCAAATACCTTTACTTATTTCTCTTAATCGTGTACGACAACATAAACAACTATATATATATAACAAACGCATTAATTTCAAGAGTTATGTATAAAACCTTTCATATTCAAATAAATACTCCTCACACTTCACATTAATCTCGCATTAACAATAATACATAGCAAATATAATGTATCGATCTCTTTTAGATAAATAACTATCCACAAAATTGCATCAACTTCAATAACACTTAATAAACAACATAACAATAATAACAAAATTAAATAACGACCAGGATGTTTTTATTTATTTTATGTGGACAGCTGTATTTCTTATTTAAGTTGCTTTTGATACAAACTTGTACTATTATGTGACATAAATAGTGCCATTTATTTCATCAACACTTCAACAAAAACACTACATTAAGAATGACATTAAACATCAGAATACCAAACATCATCATAATACCAAACACATCAATAAAAAAGGAAGTACATTAACCCATAATTAAACCAAAATTCTGATATCCTAACCATTAATAGTAATATCACATTGAAAGTATCACATAACAGTACAATGCACCAATCAATTTTGGATAAATGTATATCGATAAATATCTGCAGCTTCAACACTGCACCTATAAAATTATTAATAGTACAAATCCAATGCATCAAAAAGGAGCAATTTTAAAGCTACAAATCACAATATCAAGAGACTAACACCATTAAGAACAACATTAAATATGAGAATACCAAACATCATCAAAATACTGAACATATCAATGAAAAAGTAAGTGTATTAACCCATCGGGCCGCGTGATTAGTTTGGCAATTTGTTTCTTACAATTTATCCGCATAAAATACCATGATTCAGAAACCACACCTTTGATATATTGAATAAATTACAGCACAACAAATGGTTTATTACAATGCAAATCATAAACTTCATCGTTTATAGACAAATATTGGAATTTTCAACTGAGAGAGACATTGAGTCGCTTCAATTTTTTTATTAATATTATAGTTCGACAGCTTTGCTGATATAAACTCAAAGAGAAATTAAGCCATTTCATTTTTTATTAATATTATAGTTCGGCATCTTCAACAAATTGTATGGAATCCGTTGCCTAACCATTGTCCATAATTATGATTATTCAAAGCCTGTTGTGGTCGATAACTTTACTGTCAAACCATCAATTTGGCTATAGAATGGTAATAGGGCAAATACCGATTGTGATATCATGATTTAAGAATGCTTGGAATTTTGACAGATCAAGGTATCATCGAGGTCTACATGCCATTGCCGAACCATAATCATGATGTAATTAATTGCATTTATAATTTGTCATAACTTTTCTAGGAACACTGCTAAACCATGAATTTGAATACTTATCCATGATTTAAGGATGGCCGAAATTTGGATAGCTTGATATATCAAAAAGATAAACAATTCCATCTGTTCCTATATTAGTCAGTCCCAAGTTATTTTTTATAGTCACACCAAGTATTAAGTAGCTTGCTTGATACCAATTTAGAGAGATGTTAAGCCACTTAATTTTTTATTGATATTGTAGTTTGGCATCTTTAAAAAATTGTCTAACAAATAGTATGGAATCCGTTGCCTAACCATTGTCTATAATTATGATTGTTCAAAGTCTACTATGTGCAGTTGATAACTTCACTGTCAAACCATCAAATAAAATGGTAATATAGTACATATCAATCCACAATTTATCCATAAGGTATCATTGAGGTCTACATTCCATTGCCGAACCATTATCAGGATATGATTGGTTGCGTTTATAATTTGTTATAACTTTTCTAGGAACACTGCTAAACCATGAATTTGATTGGAATTTGGATACCTTGATGCAGTTCCGTCTGTTCCAATATTGGTCACTCTAAGTTATTTTTTATAGTCAAATAAAGTATTAGGCAGTGAGATTTAGGAATATTTCATTGGCGCAAGTCCAAAGGAAAGGATAGTAAATATTATCTTAAACCTACAACTTAGAAAACATTATAAGGATGTCAAAATGGTTAGACCTTCGGGATGCTAATGCAATGCACACATATTGACAAAAGAAGTAAAAAATCGTCATCCATAATTGGGCGACATTATCTGCTTGGCAATTTGTTTGTTATAATTCATTGGCATAAGATATCATGATCCAGAAAGCACACCTTTGATATATTGCCTGAGTATTAATAAATACATAGATGATTGGGACACATATAGTTGAATATATCAAAATCACCATATATTGACTACAACCAACAAATCTTTACATCATCAAATGTCAAACCGCAGATGTTCATGCAGGCAAAAATAACTTGCACAATAACAGCTATCATAATCCAACAACACCGAACCCGGAATAACCAAATCTCTAAATCACCATCACCATCATGCGAGGATACTAACCATGACACTCTCACAGCACGAATCGTTGACATCCACAATGACCAAATCCGATACAATAACATTCCATTCATAAATCACAAAATCGAACTTCAACTACTATCGAATTTTGCTACCTTGTGACAACAATGCCCGAGCAGCACAATTCGATGATAGTTGAGGGCCGATCGTATCACCTGAAAACAAAGTTAGCAAAAACAATACTCACGTGAGCCTTGTTAACATAAAACAATCCATAAAAGTTTCATGTAGCTCAGTCCCAAAACAAATAATTACATATCGACTGGAACAAATAGATAGCATGGCCGAAAAAACAATGCTTAATCTTTAGACAAAATACAAACCATGAACGTTTAATGTTACTCAGCGTCAACAATACAGGGAAAAACTAATTGCCCCTCATATGAACATACCGACAACCAATACTCACTGTTCGGCCGAAATTGTAAGTTGAAAATAAAATCAGCAAACATCAATGAACATATAATTCACGCTGATCGATTGCAACCACTGACATACCAAATCAATGACCTTATCAAAGACTTAATAAACACAACTTGGTATGGAACACACTGGCCTTTGTATGAACACGTCAACTTTTTTCCCTGTAACCTGAAAACAAAATCAACAAAATCAATGAATGCACATTTTATGCCAATCGATCGGCAGAAGAGACGCACCGAATCAATGACTCTACCAAAGAAATAATAAACACAAATCCTCATTTCCTTGAAAACAAACATAAAAAAATGTAATCGATCTTCATGTTAACATTGTTAAGGAACAATTATCCATTCATATAAAATCTGGTACCTAAAAATGGAAACAACAAAAGTTAATTAATCTTCATATTAAAATTATCAAAGAACACACTTACCATTTGGAAGGAATAACACAATTAATAATTCAAATAAATTGACCGAACAAAAACAATCATTCAATCTAACAATAACCGTTAAAATATTTGGAAGACATACTTACAGTTTTACATTAAAATAGTTAGAAGATATATTTACAGTTCAGAAGAACAAATCAAAATAACAACTCATTTGACAGTGTCAATCGAACATCATGCCTTTATTCCACGCCAATTCATGAATCTTTGACCTACAAACAACAACAAAAAGTTAAATAAAATAAATAATCATCTGTAAAAAAATGAAGAACATACATATTATTTTCACAAACTAAAATGACCTATAAACAATTAGCAAAAGACTAAACGTATTGTTGACACCAACTAACAAATTGCGATGATACACAATTGAACATGCGCCCCTTTTATAACCTCTTATTTAGACCTTTCGAATACCAACGCAATTAAATACGAATTCAATACAAAGAAAGTTTTCCAATGTCAATGCAATGCACTTATATAATTATAGATAGCAATCCTAGATAAATGTCATTAAACCACAATTAGTAATAGCAATCCAATGCACCTGTATACTTGTTATTAATGCCCATCTTTGGAATGTCAATGCAATGAACCTGTATTATTATTATTATTATTATTATTATTATTATTATTATTATTATTTATTAATAAAGATCTCATTTTTTTAATTAATTAATAATTATAGATGGAGCAATAAATATCAACCCAACGTGTCAAGATAGAATAATTTAATTGGCTTGTCAATCAAATGTGTCAAAATAGAGCAATTCTAGATCTTTCAAAATAGGCCACATGGTGATCAACCTGCATGGATATTCAGAGTGTGTGTGTGTGTAGTGTGTGTGTGTGTAATCATCGAATGTCCTCACATGAGATAAATATATTCCATTAAATGATAAAGATATATACTAAGGTATATAAAAATTGTCATATGAATTTCCTTCCATTAAATTATTAGGATAAAACATATATTTCACTCTACATAAACATTATCTTATCAAAATTCATATACAAATAGACTTTTAACTTCTCAAAATCATTCTCAAACTAAAATATGCAAAATCGTAATTAGATTTTAAACTTAATTTATTCTCAAGAACAATGTACATATAACATAATTTATTATAATTGTAATAAAAAAAAAAAAAGCAAATGTAAATAACATAAACATGGAAAATGAAACCACTATGAATTCATATCAATATAACCACCTATGGGTGACTGAGTGATTTGATAGGGACTCTTGGGTGTATTACTCAAGAGGTCCTGAATTTGAGTCTCTCCTCTATTGCTAATAGGTGTAGCCAATTGAGCTTTTATCCGGTCAATAGTTCTAGGGTTCTGGGAGATTAGTTATGTGAGTATAAGTTGGTCCAAACACCCTCTGATCATAAAAATATAATAGCCCTCTTAATTATTTAATATCAATATCGTTACAAGGTTTATTTCATATACTCTTATGAAATCTAAAACTATCAAATATACTATTAAATATTTCTTGTAGTAACTTATGAGTAAATTTCAATAAAAAAATGTTTTATTTATTTATTTAAAAAAAAAAAAAAAAAAAAACAAGAGGAAAACTTTGGGGTTAAGAAAGCCCCAATAATTTTTTATGTTTATCCAGTTTTATAACTATAAACAAACACAAGCAACGTAACAGCAAGAAAACATAAACGACGTCACATCGTTGCTTTGCTAGTAGTAAGGTAAACACGCACACATTTTCTCGAGAAAAATATATTAAGAGTTCGTTTCAATCCGATCAAATCATACACTTTCACATGGCGTCGCTTCGGCCTCCTATTGGCCTGGAGATATTAAATAAGAGCTACCATTTTTAGATTTTCTTTTTCATTTTTTTAGTACGATATTTTTGACAAAACAAAGAAGAACAGGAATCAATCATTCATAGGCTCAGATAAATCCGAAGACAAAACATACCCAGGTTGGTGTTCTTGATCATTTTTAGTTTTCCTATAGGGGTTCGTAATCTTCTTTGGTAATTCAATGTTTATGGAATGACCCATTTGATGATCGTGGATATCATTGCTGGGTTTCAATTTTTGGCTCGTTGTTTTCATACTTCACGGTGTTTTTGCTGCTTTGTTTTTGTTCGAATTGTTGTTTTCTATATTGGAGCCGTTTGTTTGATTTCTGAATCATGTTTGGTTTATTTTTTATGATGGGCCTGCAACAATTTTGTTTAGTGGTTTCTTATTCGTATTTTTTGCTTGCAATACCTGTGTTGTAGATATTGATTATTGGTTTTGTTGTAAGAGATTTGCTCGAAAGTTGTATTTGGTTATGTAAAAGAATGATATTCGTTTTCTTGTCATCTAGTAGATTGACATTTCTTTTTTAGTATTGAAATTTTCTCCTGTTTCTTGTTTCTTGTTCTTGGATTTTACTTCTCTTAAGGAATTTGAGCTATTGATTTTTTGCTAGTTGTTCTGGTAATCATTACTATGTCAGAGGTTTATTATATAATGAGTTAACAATATCATTGTTGGTCTTCGTATTCTCTGACTAATATAAATTTTCACCGATGTACTTCAGTTTTTCTCCGTATTTGGTACTTTCATCGCATAATGAAGTACTCTTGGTGATTTATCAATATTTTTATTGTGATTGCAGATTATAGTTTAATATATTCATCATGACAGCTAATTGACTATTTCAATATCCATAGCATTTGTAAATTGATAAATTTACTAATGTGACTTCAAAAACAATATCATGTGCTTTATTCACTATCTGTCAGATATTGCAGTTTTTGATCCGACGTTGGTTAGGGGATCAACATGTTAAGTAAAGTAAAGTTTAGTTATTTGCCTGGTCACATGCTATAGCTTGTTGGTGAAAGTGGAATGGAAAGGAGAAGAATAGATGATTATGAACCGGGACCAGTTCCTTCACCTCGAGCAGTAGATAAATTTGGTTTTGTGAAGCAGGAACAAACTGGTTCTCCTGAAGGTGCAATCAAGAGCAGGTCAGTCATTGAATTTGAGAGGTATGTTTTATGTTTTAGTACTAATATATGAAACTTTTTTAGTTAGAATGACTCTGAAAGAATGGTTGAAGAGTGTTTCTCCTTTGCTCTGATTAACTTGTATAATTTCTTGTTTGCTGTGGATATTAACATTTTCAGGGAGGAAAGACGAGTTAGAAAATGGAGAAAGATGATTGGGGTTGGAGGGAGTGATTGGAAGCATTATGTTAGGCGAAGACCTCAGGTGGTCAAAAGGCGAGTAAGGAAAGGAATTCCTGATTGTTTAAGGGGTCTTGTTTGGCAGTTGATCTCTGGAAGTCGGGATCTTTTGCTGATGAACCCTGGTGTTTATGAGGTACTCATATTCTTCATCTTGATATATTGCGTTGAACATTGATCTTACTTTTGGATAAATAATTTTTTACTTTTTATATGCCATGGACTGTGCTTGCATATCCTTTTGTTCTCGAATTTGCATTCAGCTTTCCAGTAATCATGGGAAAAGGCTATCACCTTTCTTTCCTCAATTACTAATTCATCCCCCTCCATAAATTTGAACGAATACGGGTGATTTTATGCTCTGCTTCCTTGATAATTTACACCTGATGCCTTGTATCATCATTCTTTTATCTATCTGTCTTCATCGGTACTCTATTGGATGGGTAAATGGGTTTTGTTGAGCATATATTTAAGATTAATTTGATTCCTAATCCTTAAAAAGCATAGTTTTACTCATATCCTAGGGACACCTTTTCTGCTGTTTTTTAATGGTCCTGAATAAACTTATTCTAACCTATTAAGCAATCGAATGGTCATTGTCTTCTTCTTTGAGTGCATTGAAAGATTTATACTTCACTTTATTGGCTTGTTTTCTTTCTTTAAATTTGATAATTATCCTAGCTATCTGTTACTTTGAATGATTGAATTGGTAAAGCAAATTAAAATGTGTTTTGGGTTGAAATTAGGGGTTTCATATATAGAAATGTTTTTTTTTTTTTTTTTTTACAATAATACTAGATGTACAAACAAATCTTACAAAAATTTGTGTACAAACTGATATGGCATAAAATGAATGGAAGAGTGAATTTAAAAAGTCAAACTCATCATATTCACTCTTCCATTTATTTTGTGTCACATCAATTTACACACAAATCTTTGTAAGACTTGTTTGTACATATAGCATTACTCTTTTTTTTACGTACATGGTTCTCTCTTTCTCTGATCTTCAATTACTTTGTCAATGGATACACATCTTCCTTAGTTTCTCACAATCTAATTGATAATATTCTGCTATGTTTCCACCTTAATTTGTTAGGCGTGGTTAGATATTTCTGGTTTTTAGGACTTGTCCATGCCATCGTGTCTCTCTTTTTTTGGGTTTCTTTTTGTACTGGCTCATAATACTCTTTGTAAAGCTTTAGCCCCTTTTTAGACGAATTGTTTTTGTAGGAGTGGATTTCTGATCCACTTTCTAAGTTTTTTTCATTAATATTCATTTTACGTTTCTTATATATATATATATATATATATATCTGATGAAATCTTGTTTGTGGCAGCAACTAGTAATATATGAGACGTCAGCTTCAGAACTGGATATAATTCGGGATATTTCGCGCACTTTCCCTTCTCATGTTTTCTTCCGCCAGAGACATGGACCTGGTCAAAGGTCTCTCTACAATGTTTTGAAGGCATATTCTGTATATGACAGAGATGTTGGATATGTTCAGGTTTGACTCAGAGACTCTAACTGTTTACTGAATTATGTATTCACTTTGATAAGGTATTTATTGATGATTGAAATTTGACTTGCAGGGAATGGGTTTTCTAGCTGGTCTTTTGCTTCTTTACATGAGTGAAGAGGATGCATTTTGGTTAATGGTTGCGTTATTGAAAGGAGCTGTCCATGCCCCAATGGAAGGATTGTATCAGGTAATTCAGTACTATTAAGAGCTCCTTGGTATTATTCTGAGGGTTTATATTGAGATTAAACCGTTTGTATTGAGATTAAACCATCAGTTAGCTGATAACCTAAGATTTGTGGAGGTTGAACTAAGAAGATTTTGTAGTTACCTGGTTGTAACATTTTTTTGGTCGAGTTTGGTACAAGATTTTTTAAATAGAATCTTGATAGAGCAAACATCTGACATTTGCTAAAGTGAGTGGTGCATTAGCATTTGCATAGCTGATCTCACAAGTTGATCATCTGAAAAAGAATCTTGGAAGAAACTGATCCATCAACTTCTTGTTGTGATTGTTCATCTTAGTAAATTTCATTCCTATGTGGGATTAGCCTTTTTTTAATTCTCTATGATTTGCTCATATATATATATAAACACAAGAACTGAGATGAAGTATTTTACAGCTTCCTGAAAGTTTTATTTTTATGCCTGTGAAATAGGTGGGGCTACCTCTTGTGCAACAATACTTGTTTCAGTTTGACCACTTGGTGCGGGAGCACTTGCCAAAGCTTGGAGAGCATTTTACTAAAGAAATGATAAATCCTAGCATGTATGCTAGTCAGTGGTTCATAACTGTTTTCTCTTACTCTTTTCCATTCCATTTGGCGCTCCGAATTTGGGATGTCTTCCTCTTTGAGGTCAGTGGTTGCTAGTATGGTATTTTATGAATTGTTTGGAAGCTCATTTGGTTATTTGAAAATGTTATATTGGTGTTTATAAATTTTTTTTTTCTTCCCACAGGGTGTTAAGATTGTTTTCAAAGTTGGTTTGGCCCTCTTAAAATACTGCCATGATGACTTGGTGAGTAACTGAGTACCTAAAATCTACTCCATATCTGAAATTGGATATTCTGCTTATAGATAGTATTTCTGTTTTCAGGTAAAATTACCCTTTGAGAAACTCATACATGCTTTGCGTAACTTCCCTGAGCATGCCATGGATCCAGATACACTATTGCCAATGGCTTACTCAATTAAGGTTCTCTCTCTCTTTCTTGTGTTTGTGAGAATCCTTTTATGCTGAACCATTACATTTCATCGTTAGACAAATGTGTTGAGAACTTTCAACATGCTAGGAAAGGTTAGAACATGAGAATAGTTTGTAAGGCTAGCTTTCAGTGCTTTACCTCTATGACAATAAAGAGTTCATTTAAGCTATTTCTGCTTGCTGATTGGAATACGTAGTTTACCATCTCTTTAACACGTGCCTTGAACAGCAATGACAAACATATTTATGATCTTCAAATTTATGTTCAGAAGCTATGCTTCCAGTTGCTTTCAAACAGTTCTTATCATCTCATTCGTAACCAAGCATAGTATATGAATGGGAATCATTTGTTAATTCACCAAGTTAGTAAAACAGTCAGAGCATCATCGAGTATAGTTTATGGAAAAAAAATTCAAAGAAAATTGTCTGCGGCTTAGATTCCAATAAAGGGACAAGGAAATGGTGGCTCATCTACTATTGCATTGTGTGATTATACATGAGTTATGGTGCTTTCCTTTTCTCCATTTGGGTTGTTCTGAGTGATGCTTTAATCTAGTGTTGAACTTGTCAGTAGTTGCCATAGCTTTAGTTTGAGAAAAAGGAGTCGTATAGCTTGAAAAGCAGCTCCGAAATTTCTAATGTGGTGTATTTGAATGGAACGTAAATAAAAGAGCATTTACTGAGATGGAGCTTAAAAAACAACATTGGAGGGAAAGGATAATTCTTTAGCTGAGCCCAAAATAGGCTCCTGAAGATGTTATTTTCTTGGTTATAGATGTCCTTTTTCTCTTCCTCTAGGCATAACTGTGTCCTCAATTTCTCTCATTCTTGTTCCTTTAGGAAATTCTTTTCAAAAATTTCAGCTTGTAGGAATTGGTTACCTTGGTTGTATATTAATTCAGTCCACGTTTCCTACTCTAATTGTCATTGAGATTCCACCTATATCTTAAGGTAAAATCATAATAGCATTGCAACCACTGTACTAAATTTTCCTTTTCTCCCTGTAATCCCATGTTGTTTCTTTGTCTTTTTTTCTTTTTTTGGCAAATCAGTAGTAAGATTTTGCCTTTCTTCTGCCTGACTGATATTTAGTTTATGTAGATTTTGTGCATGACTGTTGTTTAATAGTTTATGTTGATTTTATTGCATCTCATGTCTTATATACAGTATCGGTTAATCATTAGGTATCAAGGCGTTTGGAGGAACTGAAGCATGAGTATGAAAGGAAGAATGAAAAATCAGTTCAATCAGTAGAAAGTAATGGAAAAGAGCTGCAATGAATAATCATCTCTGAGGTTGAACTCGCAACGATTAATCTGATCAATCCGTACACCCCGATTCTTTTTTTTTTTTTTTTTTTTTTAATTTTTGGTCTCTCTCTCTTTCTGCATCGGCAACTATATTGTATGAAGAGATGTAAATCTAAATGTTGAGGTTTTTTTGTGGTGGGCTGATTCTGCCAAAGCCCCTTGCTTAATATTGTTAGAGTTGTGAATAATAAGAATTGTATGTTCAGTTGAGAATGAAGATGGTCCATCTCTTGCTTTTTTTTTCATTCTTTCTGCAGATAATTCCTCCTTCCTGGCCAAATGCCTATATACGTGTTGTTGACTATGTATTCTTATCTCCTAAGTTGCTTGTCCTGCATGGCACTCCTATCTTCACTGAATTGGCAATAGTTTTATTATTTAATGACAGCTAATTACCACAATAATTAAGATTAGGCAACCCTTTTATTATTATTATTATTTTTTTTTTTAAGTTTCTGGGTTGAAAGGGGTGATAAAGAGATAGAATAATTCCATGCTTTTCTTAACATAAAACTGAAAGTTATTGCCAACCAGCACATTATCCTAATCCTACCAACATTAGACATTAATTTTAATTATACCTAATGCAGGTTTATTTCTTTCATACCTTTAAAGCATCTTTGAACACCTTACAACCCCCCTTTTTAGGCTCAACTTTTAAAGATTTTATTTTCTTATTTCGGGGTATAAAGTGGTGAGATATGCCTAATTGTACCATCTTTGTTCTTTAAAAAGTTTTCGAAATAACATAAATCTCTATACTATTAATTTAGAAGATTAAAATAAATATATAAGAATAATTCAATAAATATTCATTAATTTATAATAATATAAGAGACTGGTGCACATAAAACAAATTTAACTTTTGTGACCATCTGTATAACACCTTCCTAACATAGGATTTGGCTGATATTTTATTATATTATAAATCATATTTCCATTTTAATATAAACTCCAAACTGAATAAACTCAATATATGTGTGACAATGTCCTGTCCATGGGACACTCATGAGTGGTTGTAAATAACTTAATAAAAATAAAAATAAAATGTGCGGAAGGGCATATTGGTAATTTACAAAAAAAGACATTTTATAAAAGCGGGGCTTGTTTGATGCTGTGGACCCATGTGGGGATTAAACGAAAGAAAGACAAAAAACACAGCTCACATATTTTGTAGTCAATTATTTGATCCACACCCCAATCTTATCGTCATCCTCTCTTCTACTTAATATTCCCATTGAGTGCTCCACATCTTTGTTATAAGTCTTGTGAACCTTGACGGTTCGTTTATTCCATATTAATTTAATTAAGATTATGCTAACATATCGTGATTTATGCTCTATATCTTTCTTTTTAAGTTTTGTGAACTTTCGGGGTTTGTTTATTCAATAGTTCTATAATTAGGATGTCAAAATGGTGCTTAAATATCATATCTTTATTTTCTAATAATGATGTACTAACCATAGATATCTAGTTAACCTTAGAAATAAAGAGTTTATTTATATAAACAGAAGTTCAACAGACTCTTTATTCTTTAAATATAAATTATAATTTTCTCTTGCACTACACTAGTACTAAAATCCTCCTTTGAAACGGAAATCATGAGCTTATTTTATACTTGGTCTCGTCCGACAATGATTGAGAGTGGATATTACGGGATTACTTGCACGCATAATCCCCTTAATTAGGATTTGAGTTAATAATCTTCATGCTTATTACTGATCGGGCTACGCTAATAGCAATCTAACCCATGTTTGTGACATTAATCATCTTGTAAGAGAAGCAAACACTGATAGGATGACACATGAGAACATCTTGACCATCAGGCTTTGATACAACCAAAAGACGTGTGGCATAGATCTGATCGCTAGGAAACTAGGCATAATAGACGTGATATAAGTTTGTTAAGACGGCACTTGAATAATATGATTCATTTTATGGATTAAAATGGTTTGAAAAAACTGAGATCCAATAATGTATAATATAAGAACATGTTGGATATAAAATCAGAATTTTATTTGTTAGGTTTTTCTCGGTATAATGTGGATAATAGGATCTACTATTAGGTTAAATTTAATATTATTATTTTATTGAATATTGATTAAAAAATTATAACAAAATAATTGGAGATATATTTCTTGGCCCAAATCATGCCAACCCATCATGTGTTTGTCTATTGCCTTTTATGCCCTTTTTAATAACTACCCTCTTCCACACGTACAACCTTCGCCCATCTTCCAAACAAACTCACAAGATTCCTTTTTTACATTATTTTCCCATTTTCTAATTCTTATTAATTTCTATATTTATAATTTGAATTAATTTCACCCTCTCCCTTTTAGTGTACCTAAAAAACCTGACACAGATACAAGTGTAAATCTTCGATACAATCTAGGAGGGGCAAAACTGTCATTACAGCAGCAATCCCAGCACACCCACAATCCACGGCAAGCAAACCAATAATCGATGCCTTCGAGGAAATTCAGCCTATTCAGGTACGTCCAAAAATTTCAAAATAAATAAAACCCTAAAATTTGAAGGGGTAACGGCCGTAATTATCGCGAAAAGACGTGGCAATCGTGGAGAACTCCTCCTATATAATGGGCCTCTCGTCTCCTCTTAACGTTAGAAGGAGAAAAAAAAAAAATTGTTGTTTAACTCGGCGGCGTATCCTTTACAACAAATCTCTTTCTCTCTGCATAGTTGAAACCCCCCCTCGTATCTCTCTTCATCGCTTGTAGTTGAAACCCTTCTCTCTTTTCTGATATATTTTCTAGGGTTTATTTGGCGGTGCGTCGCTTCTCGGTTTCTTCTCCGGATTTTTTTTTAAATATCGTAAGTTCCTGAAAGATTGTTGTTTTGTTGTTTATGTTTGTGTTTTTGGCTTATGTTTGTTTTTGTTTACGGATTTCATGTAATGTGTTTTTTTTTTAATTTTTTTGTGTGGTTTATTGGGTAGTTTTTATAGATCTTTGTGTGTGTTTATGTGATGATGAAAAGAAACGGTTTTTATTTGAACAATATCTGTTTAGTAAACTGTTTGTGATGTTTCTGGACGAAAGATCATAGTTTTGAGACTTGTTGGATGAAAGATTTAATATTTTTCAAATTTCTGGTGACCCCATTCAGTGATTGTGTAAGAAACTGTTGTTTTCTTTTATTGTTATTATTGTTTCGCATGTGTTCGTTTTTTATTTCTTCTTTTTGAGTTTTGGATGTTAATGTTTTCCTTTCGTTTACCCAAATATATTTTTTTTTCGAATTCTTTCAAACGTTTTTAGTTTTTAGAATCTGGAACTAATTGGTTCTTGATATATTTAAGTCTTTCCAAATTTTTTGGAGATCTGATTCAGTGTGTTGACACTGTTCTTCTGTTTGTTGGTTTTTTTTTATTTCCATTTAATTCTTGTAAAAATGTTTTCTTTTTGTGTTTTGATGTTATTGATGAGACATGGGTTTACATTTATCAATGGTTGGTTTTGTATATGTTGATTGGCTTGGACTGGTTTATGGTGCTGATATATGTTCTGATTGTTTTTGACAGGAGATTGAATGAGCTAATGGAAACCAAAGGCGGTAAAAAGAAGTCTAGTAGTAGTAGTAGTAGTAAATCCTTGTTTTACGAAGCTCCCCTCGGTTACAGCATTGAAGACGTTAGGCCTCACGGTGGAATCAAGAAATTCAGATCAGCTGCATACTCTAACGTAAGTTTCATCTCATGATTTTGTTCCTTTGACTCATTCAAACATGAATGAATTATCAAGCTGACAATTGTTTCTTGTATTTTGTTTATGCAGTGCGTCCGAAAGCCTTCCTGAGATTCCTTAAGTTCAGTCATAACCCCATTGAGCTTTTTCATTCTGCAATTTTAATTTTGTTTTTCTCATCAATTCTGCAAATTACTTGGCCTATTTCTTTTCTGCTTCCCTCGTTCACTCGTTCTCGCTCTCGCTCTCTTTGCAATCGTTGTTTGTTTGCTGCTCTCTGTAAGGCAAGATGGAATTGCCAGTCTCTGCAATTGGATTTGAAGGTTTTGAAAAGAGGCTTGAGATTTCTTTTTTCGAGCCTGGTGTCTTTGCTGATCCTGAAGGTGCCGGTTTCCGCTCATTCTCCAAAGATCAATTGGATGAGATACTGAAACCAGCGGCATGCACTATTGTTTCCTCATTGTCTAATGAGTATCTTGATTCATATGTGCTCTCGGAATCTAGCCTCTTTGTGTACCCCTACAAAGTTATCATCAAAACTTGTGGTACAACAAAGTTGCTTCTGTCAATCCCTGCCATACTTAAGTTGGCTGATTTACTCTCCCTCAAGATTCAGTCTGTGAGGTACACTCGTGGAAGCTTCATATTTCCTGGAGCCCAGCCATTTCCACATCGTAGCTTCTCTGAAGAAGTAGCTGTCTTGGATGGTCACTTTGGCAAGTTTGGTTTGGACAGCACAGCTTATGTGATGGGTAGTCCTGACGACACCAAGAAATGGCATGTTTACTCTGCTTCTGCTAAACTGGAGAAACACTCGGATCCGGTTTACACTCTTGAGATGTGCATGACTGGCTTAGACAAGGAGAGGGCAACTGTCTTCTATAAAACTGAGACAAGCTCAGCTGCTCTGATGACTAATGATTCTGGTATCAGGAAGATTCTTCCGAAATCTGAGATATGTGATTTTGAGTTCGACCCTTGTGGCTACTCCATGAATAGTATTGAAGGGGATGCTATATCTACCATACATGTCACTCCTGAAGATGGTTTTAGTTATGCAAGCTTTGAGTCTGTTGGATATGATTTTGAGGTTGTCAAATTGGTACCCATGCTGGAGAGGGTTCTGGCCTGCTTTAAGCCAGCTGAGTTTTCTGTTTCTTTGCACTCTGACATTGTTGGTGAAGAACTTGCAACAAAGTTCCCTGTGGACTTGAAGGGATATGCTATTGGAGAAAAGAGTTTTGAAGTGCTTGGTAACGGTGGCTCGCAGATCTACTACAGTTTTACTAGAGCTGACGGTTCTTCATCTCCCAGGTCCATTCTGAAATGCTGCTGGAGCGAGGACGAGAAGGACGAGGAAGTTGAAGGGAAGTAGTCCCTGATTTGTTATTGTTTGTTGTTATTGTTTGTTGTTCTTTGTTTTTCCTTTATTGCTTTCAATAAAAATAAAATATGATGTTTTGTGGGGTTATGTACTAATTGTAGGGTTTTAGCAACTTTGCTTGCCTATTCTCTCTACTGTTTGAGATATTCTGAATAAGATTTATGTTATTAGATTTGCAGACATAGTGCTGTTAAATCATTACCTATCAAAATAAAAGATTTGTGTTGCTTATACTTTAAATTGTCTCTGGTTTCTTGATGTTCTTCATTGCAGCAGTAGTTGTTTTCACGAGTTTTTTAATGTCAAAGGCTGCATGATACTTGTGGTCAAGGCTAAGAAAATTTGAAGACTATTTAAATCCTGTTTGGGCATTCTTTCATTGTGAAAAATGTTTGGCAGCATTTATTTAAAAGCATTTATACTTTTTTTTTTATTTATCTTAACTAATTCTCTGGACTTTGAAATTGTAAATTGTTCGGTTGGCCTATTGAACCATTAGCGATTAAAAAGGACTTTGAAATTGTAAATTGTTCGGTTGGCCTATTGAACCATTAGCGATTAAAAAATGATTCAAATTTGAGAACTCTTGAGTGTCTTAATCCCCTATTGAACCATTAGGTCCATCTAGGGCCTTAGAATTATTGGTTGAATGAGAGTTTCATTGGCTATCTTATTAATAATCGAAAAAAGATTTGAACTCATGAACTTTTGAGTTTCTTATTGAACTACTCTAACCACTCGGTTAGAGGTAGTTAAGCATTTATTTATTTATCTTAACTAATTCTTTGGAACTTAGAATTATATAGATCTAGTAGTTACTCCTAGGCTATCCCTATTAGCAATCAAAGAAGGATTGAAACTTAAGAACTCTTAAGTTTTTTATTGAACCATTAAGAAACCTTATAACTATCTGTTGGGTGAGAGTTTTATTGACTAACCCTATTAACAACAGAGGAAGGACTCGTATTTAAAAACTCTTGAGTTTCTTATTGAACCACTCGGCTAGAGGTACTTAAGCATTTATACTTCTATCCTCAAATACAAAAGAAAATGGTTTCCCAATAAATATCAAAATCAAATTCACTATAATTAGTATTCTTGACTTCTAAATCGTTCTATATTAATAGAATAGCTGGGCAGTTCCTTGACTCATTAATAAAAAAACTTACGGTGAGAAGAGCCGTTCTATTTGGTGGGTGCATGTTGGGCCACCGGCCACTAATTCAAAATCCAACCTGATATGATAGGAAAGGGAATACTAATGTTGAAAGTAAATAAAAGAAAAATCGACCCAGCTCAGCCGCCAATCTTGACCATAAAGTAAAAAGAAAACTTAAATTAGCTAAAAGACAGACCATGTGTTGGAAGAAAGGAACAACTAGTGGGCAAGGGCGTTCAATAACTTAAAGTGGGGAATACGATTCAGCACTTGAATAGAAAAACAAATTTCTGAATGACCATCTTCAGTCTTCTAAAAGGAAGGTTCTTGTAAACTGCATTTTGCTTACTCGTTCTACTTGGCTATTCAACTTGGTTTGGTATCACTGCCCAATTATTTGTTGCCGACTGATGGAAAAGTTGTGCAATTAAGTAAAATATGTCCTGCCAACTTTCACTTTTGTTTGGGGTCAGTTTCCTTCCAACTTCCAAGCATGTGATATTCTCAATGACTTTTTGGAGGAACATATAAGATTTGCATGATTCATGGTGGCCATAAATGGGCATAATATGTAAATCAGGAAATGGGAATCCATCAGAGTTGTGCGGACACAAATGAAGAATCCAATGATGCACTCATCAAAATCTTCAATGGCTTGATGATATATTCATTCATAATGCCAATATACAACCAGGCATAAGAAAATCATAAATTCCTCAGTAACAGAACAAAATTTCTAATTCTAATCGGGCAAATGTTGTACATTATCAAAAATAATTAGCATCTATCAACGCACTTGCTGATTTCTTCAGCAAACTTAACCAGCACAAAAAATTGAAAAGAACAGGCGAGTATGCAGCTGGCCCTCTGATTCCCGCATTTTAACGTTTATGAAATTATAAGAGTTGCTTCAAGTCCCATGCCTTGTGAATGAGTCAGTAAAATTCAATAGGGTCGAAACTTTCTAGCAGCTCTTAATTGTTGTATTCGCTTTCTATCCTGCTCAAATTTGCTTTGAAGCATCATAATTTCTGCAAGAAAAAAAAGTACCAATATTTTGCATTATGTGTCAACATCAATGAATCAATAATACAGAGATCAAATCACTCTACAAATCATCCAATATATTTTACATGAGAAAATAAAGAGAGAATCCATAGGTTATCAGTAGGCCACAGCAATTTCATATGTTGATTAATTGGACATGCGGCGATGCAACTTTTATTTCCCCTTCTGGCCTACAAGCTGAGCCACAGTGGGGTAAGAACTCAATCCAATTATTTTGTCCTTCCCGGTCTATGTGAGATTTTATTTTAAGTATAGACCAGAAGCTAAATTAACTGGCATGACTGAACTCCCCCCCAACCCTCTCATTTCTCTCCATCTTTTCTTTATTTGTTTTTTATTTTTTAAACATCCTTGGGTTTGCATTACAGTAGGTACTTTTGTGAGGTGTCGCAAAATCATTTGACTCATTTGCTTTTAGACCATATGCCCTTTAGTAGTTAGGGAAATTGTTAGATATATATCCCCTGGTAGATGGCCCAAGAGGGTTTAGACCTCAAATTTTTTAGTCAAAAACCAAAGGTCGTAATTAAGAGATATTTCCAACCAACATGGTTAGAATATAAAGCTAATATTGCGGTTTAGCGAAAGAAAATGATATAAAATTTAAATAAGATTTTGCCATACCATTCCTCTGGGCCTCTCTTCTTTGGAAACGGTAGAAATCTAGCCCAACCTCTTTTTTCTTCTTCTTGCCAAGCTTATCCTCCACAGCAGCTTGTGCTACAGAGCCCACAGTAATTCCACTTTCAGAATCTGTGGTTTTTTTCCTTCCTTTATGATGTACAACCACTGTCCATCCCCCTTCTGCAGCAAGAGCTTCTCTTTCTTTTCTTCCCTGCAAGTACCATAACGCTGAATGAGAAACTATGGGCTAGATGCTGACAACATGTCAGCATGTTTGCTAAGAGATCCATTTTTTACAACAAAAATAAAAATAGACTAGTTGATGCATACAGGTTTATACATAAACATTTAAATTTCATAAGTTACCACTGCACAAGTGCACGTAAGCCACAATATATGTGCATGAACACATATGTAAGATTTCAATGTACAAGACTGACTTTAGATAAACACATTTACCTATGTTCAAAGAAATTTTGCATGTACAATGAAGAAGCATATTTTACCACCAATCTTATGTTCCCATACGAGGCAACAATTATCAAAAAGTCCTTATTTCTACATGAAAACATGATCCCTTGAGTTTGTTAACATATTTAGTTCGTGTGTTAGTACAAGACCATTCTCAAGGGCAAAGGTACAACAATTGCAAAGACAAGGAATTTCAAAAGAATCTTCCAATTGAAAGTCAGATAACAGTAATTATAAGGAAGCAGAAGGGCAAATATACCTGTTCAAGTTTTGCTTCATGAGCAGTGATAAATTCATCAATTCTCTGTTGTAAAACCTTCAAACCTGGTCTACTTTGATGGTATTCTGTAACCCATTCTGTAGTTTAAGAAGCCCTCGGTAAGAAAACTAAATAATAAAGCATGCCCATCAATTGCAAATAGTGTGATATAATAACCTTAACAAGAAAAGCCAAAAATAAATGTTTGACTTTTTTCATAAATCTGAATTGAGAAACTTTTACCAGCACACTTTCAGGAAGGGGGAAGCGGGTTGGACAGTTGATATACTATGACCTCTTGGCTGAAGTTCATAGTGGTACAAATTAATTAAAGCTTTTTCAGGCAACTTGCAAGCCGCACATAAAGTTATGAATGGCCAAGCAAAACAGTCCAAAACCAAAAATAAAAAGGGACTGAAAAAAGGAGGGAAAGATACTGGAGGATATCAAACATGCACAAATTGGGTTTAATGGTCAAATTGAGAGCTTGTTATATATATATACACTATTTACCATCTGACACAACATTTGGCTCATTTAACTATCTACAAAGTCAATGAGTTTAGCACTAGATCATAGGCAGTTAAAAACAACAAACATATATCACCAGTAAAATGCTTCATACTTTTCATTCCTTTTGAGCAGTCATCATCCCCTGAAGAGATAAAATAAACTTCATTCTGATCAGCTTCCGTACTCTTTTCTGTTAAATCTTCATCCTGCTTCAATGAATCATGATCCTTCTTCTTCTTTTTCTTAGCTTTCTTAGAGTTACCTACTACAACCAAAAGAAAAACCTCAAGTAAATCATATTTGAATAACTACATGATTATTAAAAGCCATTTGTTAAAATTTATATAGAGCAAACAAAAACAATCATATAACTTACAACTAAACAACATTTACAAATTTCCTTGCACAGGGTAAGTAGAGGAGAGTAACAACCTCCAGTTCAAGAAAAAGGAAATTACTCCACCACATATATTAATGGATAACAAGATAAAATCATTGAAGGGAAATTGCATTGTTAATTGAAAATTATTTATCAGGACCACAAGCTGTCCCTATGCATGCACGCAAGAACAACACTGGATGGAAGACGCCATAAATAATTAAAAAAAAAAAAAAAATCAAAGAAAAAAAATGATTAGGTTTATTTTCACACACCATTTAATTTATTGACACCATCTTCTTCCTAAGCACCAAGCTGACCAAATTTGTCGATCAAAGCATTGCCACTTTTTGGTATCTTCTTTGCTTTGTTCCTTTTTTTCCCTCCAATTTCTTCAATTGAATTATCTGCACAACCTATAGAAGCAAGAAAACAATAAGAGAAACATATTTCAAATCTAAAGTCGTACTAATGTAAATTCTAGTAGATCTACACAATATCCACCTTCGATCTTGCTCTGAACAGCACTGCTAACATCAACAGCATTTCCTTTCTCCCTTTTTCTTTTCTTCTTCTCAGAAGGTAGATTCTTCTCAGTTTCTTCTTCCACTGTATTTATCATTTCAACTGAAAAAAACAAAAGAGGCAGGCTCTATCAGTTGGTGATTAACTTAACACAGTCAATAATCATATATATGGCACCAATACTATTTCACCTGCACAAATACTGAACTACAAAAAAATAAAAATAAAGAAAAAGGTAGAAATTTTGTATTTTGTATAATACACGTGGTTTGCCATATAGTATTCTAACAAGGCAATTAGTACATTCTACAACCCCAAACAGTCATTGCAAATAGTTTGAACAAATTGAATTCCTACAACTCACTTCTTCAATGAAAAATCCCAGAACATTACACAAACTACAGTGAGCCTTTCAAACAATATATCAATTGACTTCTCCGGAAATAACCTGAAAATCCCACCTACAATCTATAGTCTGTTATATAAGTGAAAATGTAATTAGAAAAAATATCATTTTAAAAAGGAAAAGAATAAAGTTTCTTTACCATGCACGTTTTAGACTACCTGAACTTAATTAGGCTATAGCCTTTACTATCAACTTGACTTATGATGGTTATTCTTCGTTTTTTTCCAATTTTCCATTCGATTTTCGTATTATAATCTATTATTTTTTTCGGTTTTGTCATAATTCCTTTCATGGAAGCTAGTTGCCTGTATACATTAACAAAAACTAATAGCAAGATAATAACAAGCAAAGAAAATGAAGAAATTATATTTTTACATACAAAGACTCAAACCAAAACAAACCCAGCTGTCATTCAATGAGTTTCAGCTAAAGAACACCCAATAGTAAGCTATAACCAATCCAGAAAAGAGAACCCAGAAAAAAAGAAAAGCAAAAGGACTCGCCGTTTTCAGAGAGTTGAAGGTTGCTTCTCTTCTTAGACTTGACTTTCTTCTTCTTCCTCTCGTTCGTTCCCATGTTTTCCACTCAACAGTTGCTGCGCAGAAGGCTTTGCGAAAGGAAAAATAAACTTGAGCAGCTAACTAGCTAAGGGCCCCGTGGAACAAGCAGGTTAGGGCGCCACGCCTGTGATGAATCCAACACGGTTCAATTTTTCCCTTTGAACCCGGTTCAAGCTTTTTTTTTTTTTTTGTGTTATTTTATTAAGTTTTTTTTCTTTTCTTTTTTTCCTCAAACCACTTAATTAGGATTTTTTTTTTTTTAATAACTGAGATGTCTGGACAAGCTTGCATGTATGCTAAATTAATTTTCGAAATCTATTAAACTCCCTACAAGTTTAAAGGGAATACCTTACAAGTCCAAAGGATTAGTTAAGTCACGATGTAGTAGTAGTAATAGATAGCCTCAAGGTGTGAACTTAAGAACTCAAGAAAGAGAATAAATCTCTTTGACCGTTAGACCAACCCTTGAGGTTTAGGATTTTCTTTTTACTACACAAATAAATCTATTTAATAATTTTTAACCTGAACGTGAAAATATAAAATATTGAAACTAGTGATATGATAAATATTAACAAAAGCATATTAATAACATATAAATTTTAATTCAAGAAGATTATTTCTATTATCTTCAATTAATAATGGGAGAACATTTTCCTCATGATTAATAATATGAGTAATACTATACTGATAAACGAATTTTATAAACTCAACGTAGCACCTAAGTTAGCATTATCATATTAACTGACGACTTTGACTAAATATGAACAGCAGCTCCTTAGTGATGAACGACCGTTCACTCATAAGCAACGATTTTTCTTTCATAAGAATGAATGATTGTTCCATAAGAAGGAATGATTGTTTCATTCTAAGGAATGACTGTTATATTCATAAGGAGATGCCATTCATTTTCGTCTCTAAGAAACGATCATTCATATTTAATCAAAGTTATTTAGTGTCTTAAGTGTGCTGGGAACTACCAATTCAACTGCCATGTCGAGTTTGTGAGAAAAAAAATTTGTGAGATTCATTTGTCAGCTTATCTTTATTCTTACTAACATAACTGAACATTGTTAAATGAAATTACTTTTTTATTTAAAAGAAAAAAAAGAATAATATTATTCTCTAATTTATATATCACTTTATGTTAAATGAAATAAAAATTATTAATAGGATAATAAAATCACACAACAACACTAATTAAAAAAAAAAAAAAAAATCCCTTGTGTGAAAATGGGATCATAATAATTACCTCTAGTAGTCAAGTGAATCAATAGAGACTATTAGGTGTATTACTCAAGAGATTCTGAGTTTAAATTCCTTCTCAAATCCTAATTGAGGTAGGCATTGAAGCTTTTATCTAACCGATAATTTTAGGGTTTCGAGAGAGAGCTTGTTTGGCTGAGCTTATGAAAATTAGCTTATAAGCAACTTATTTAGAATTTTAAGCAGTTACGTTTGGTTAAAATACTTATAAGTAACTGATAAATAATTGACATATTTAGTAAAATGTAGCTTATAACTATATTTTATTATTAAAATAATTAAAAAGAGTCTTATATTATTTTATCAAATAATATATTATATAGTGAAATTTTAAAATTAAATAGAGATAACGTGATAATGTTAAACTAGCTTATAAGCAGAAAAAAAAAAAAAATACCTTCCTTCCAATTTATTTTTTTAATTTTTTGCTTATAAGACTAAAAAAAATTATAAACAAACATATTAACTTAATTTTAGAATTTGTAAACTGGTTGGACTAGCTTATAAGCTCAAACAAACATCCTCTAATTGAGATGAGCGTAAATTGACCCGGACAATTCAGTCATACAAAAAATAAATAAATAAATAAAAAAATCATAATTTTCCATGGTAATATGTAAATTGGGTGGCTTACTTATTTCTTCTTCCTAGCAGTTCATATGATTGAAGAATGACAGAATTCTATTGAACCATAAAATAAAATATTATAGTGATTCGATTCCCTCGAACAATCTCCACAAATGGCTAACACTGACGCCAAGTTCATTCTAACCATTTCTGCAATTGTGCTCAAGGGTCACTGGGCTAAACTCTTGAAACCCAATATCGTTTCATCTCTCTCTTCAGCAACCATTCACCAGGTCCTTCTAAATCTCTCTCTGTTTACTCACAGTCCTAATTCGTGGGCATTCTTTAAATGGATTGAATCAACAGTACCCAATTACAAGCACTCCTTGCAGTCTTCTTGGATTATGATTCATTTTTTAACAAAACACAAACACTTCAAGAATGCACAGCACCTGCTTGAAAAAATTGCTCATAGAGACTTTTTATCAACTCCGTCGGTTTTGAATGCTTTAGTGAAAGTTCACGATGACCCAGCTGGGAATTCTCATGTTTTGAGCTGGTTGGTGATAATTTATGCAAATATGAAAATGACCCAAGAGGCTGTACATGTGTTTGATCAAATGAGGGTTCATGGTTTAAGTCCTCATTTGCATGCTTGTACTGTGTTGTTGAATTCTTTGGCAAAAGATAGGTTGACTGATAAGGTGTGGAAAGTGCATAAGAAGATGGTTAGACTTGGAGTTGTTGCTAATATTCATGTGTATAACGTGTTGCTTCATGCTTGTTGCAAGTCAGGTGATGTTGAGAAAGCAGAGAAGTTGTTGAGTGAAATGGAATTTAAGTGTGTGAAACCTGATCTTTTTACGTATAATACGTTGATTGCTTTGTATTGTAAAAAAGGAATGCATTATGAGGCTTTGTGCGTTCAAGATAGGATGGAAAGAGAAGGGGTGACTCTGGATATTGTTACGTATAATTCTCTTATTCATGGTTTTTGTAGAGAGGGTAGAATGAGAGAGGCTGTGAGTCTGTTTAGGGATATTAAAGGTGCTACTCCTAATCAGGTCACTTATACTACTTTGATTGATGGATATTGCAGAGTGAATGATCTTGAAGAAGCTTTGAGACTGCAGGAGGAAATGGTGGTTAAAGGATTGTATCCTGGGGTTGTTACTTATAATTCTATCTTGCGCAAGTTGTGTGAAGAAGGTAGGATAAGGGACGCAAACAGACTCTTGAATGAGATGGGTGATAAGAATGTTGAACCAGATAATGTCACGTGTAACACTCTGATTAATGCTTATTGTAAGATAGGCGATATGGGGTCTGCAATGAAAGTGAAGAACAAGATGCTTGAGGCTGGATTGAAGCTAGACCAATATACTTACAAGGCATTGATCCATGGATTCTGCAAAGTTCAGGAAATGGACAGTGCTAAAGAACTCTTGTTTGGCATGCTTGATGCTGGATTTGCTCCTAGTTATTGCACCTATTGTTGGCTTGTTGATGGCTATTGCAAAAAGTGCAATGATGAGGCAGTAATTAAACTTCTGGATGAATTTGTGGGAAGAGGTGTTTGTGTTGACATATCAGTGTATAGAGCACTAATAAGGAGGTTTTGTAAGATAGAAAAGGTTGATTGTGCTCAACGAGTATTCAGTCTTATGCAAGAAAATGGTATATCTGGAGATAGTGTTATTTATACTAGTTTGGCATATGCTTACTGGAGAGCTGGAAAAGCAAATGCCACTTTAGATATATTAGAGGAAATGTATAAAAGAAGGTTGATGATAACTCTGAAACTCTTTAAGTGTTTCAATGCTTCTTATGCTAATGATAACAATATCTTGGGTCTCTTTTGGAATCATGTAGTTGACAGAGGCCTAATGTCAAAAAATATTTTAAAGGAAATGGAGCAGATGAATTCACACTCATAAAGGAATCTGGGAATTTCAACAAAGTTGGAGTCTTACATTTTCAGTTCATTGAAAAGGTGATCGAGCATCAGAGCATGTATAGCCTCTTTTGTTGCAATTGGTCATAGTATGCACGGATTGGAACCAGCAGATGATGGAATGTTCCTATTAGAGTTCTTTTTCTGCCAAAAATCAAGTTATATGCAACTTCTGGTAAGGTGGAAGGTCATCTGGCAGATATGGATCGGTTTATAGCTGACATGTGAGGTTCATTTTTTTAAAGTATGGATTTTCTAATGGATCATGGGATCATCTTAACTAGTGACAAAGAAAATGTGACTGTATATTACAAGGCACTGATCCATGGATTCTGCAAGGTGCAAGAGATGGACAGTGCTAAAGAGCTCTTATTTGGCCTGCTTGTGCCTGTTTTCCCTGTTATTGGACTTATTCATGGCTTGTTGATGGTTGCTGCAACAAATGCCATAAAGAAGCATTAATAAGCTCTGGCCTGATTAGTTTTAGATAAATATATATTCTGTCAAGTCCGCCGGTCTTGAATGGAACACCTTAAATACGTATAAAAGAACCGGCAATTTACTATCTCATTATGTTGAAGCAAAGACAACAATAGAATTACGGAATGCAGCATGGCCAAGAAAAGCAAAGCTCCAGGAATGGGAGTGTTATAGCTTAAACTTTGTTGGAGCCTTTGTCTTTATGCTTGTATGTACTTGTGTAGTTGTGTTTGGTAAGAGACCTTCCAACGGCTTAATTGCTGCAATCGAAATCGGAATAAAGTTCAACCAAGTAATTGTTTGGTCTAGATTTGAGCCTCCAAGATGCGATTGTATAATGATTTCTTAAAAGTAAAAATTTTTATGGTTGAAAGGGATTGTTGGATGGAAGATATAATCAAATAGTTTAACCTTTATTTAAATTTGAAAGTTTTAACAATGATTTAAAAGTGTTTTGTTCTTTTAATTCTTATAGAAATTGAAGTTGATTGAAATATAAGCATTAATGTTAGCCCACAACCTTCTCTTATAACCTCTGAGATGGTAACTCGTAATTGGTTAGTTCGTAAGTAGATAGACGAGAATAGCAAGCAGATGAAACCTATTTGCGAGTAGATCAATTATGAGTTATCACGTAAGAGATTGTGAAAGAAAGTTATAAAAATAAGTTATTGACCTAACATTATTCGAATATAAATATTAACTAACCCCTGAATGGTCGAATAGTTCGATAGGACTTTTGGGTATATTATTTAAGAAATATTGAGTTTAAGACTTTTTTCGATTGCTAATAAAAATGGATATTGAAACTCTTATTTTTTTAATAGCTCTAAAAGCTTAAAGAATTAGTTAAGATTGGTGTAAAATGGTTATACATCTCCTTATTATAAAAAAAACAAAATTATATATAAATATTTAACCATCTCCTTGCCATAAAAAAACAAAATTATCTATAACTATTAAATATACTAGTAAAGTATAATCGGTTGAATAAAAATAATATCTTTATCGGAAAAAAATATCTTTCCATCGGATAACTCAAAGGCCGCCAAGTCCTAGTCAAAACTCAAAAGGACTAAATCAATGGTATCCACTCATCCCAAAGGCCAAAACTAGAGTGACACGTGTTACTTCATAAAAGACACGTGTCAAACTTCTGTCCACACACCTCAAGCAATGGACTGGCTTCAGAATCTATAAATAGTGGCAACTTTCATCGATAGTTCATCACCAGTCTTTTGGAATTGTTTTGTTTATCAGTATATGAAGCTGAAGATCAAAACGATCGAAGCGTGTGATCGGCTATCTGGTCATGCGATTAAAAAGCTAAAGATAAGCAATTTGAAACTAAAGATTAAGATGATATGAGCATATGATCAGTGATCTGATCACGCAATCTGAAGCTAAAGATTAACGATTTGAAGTTAAAGATCAAGACGATCTGAGCGTGCGATTAGCGATCTGATCACGTGATCAGAGAACTCTGACGTATGTGATCTACAATCTAGTCAAGAAATTGGTTTACGATCTACGATCTGACTACGCTATCAAGGAACTTGGACAAAAGTTTAAGACCTACATGTTGATGCTTGATTTTGGACACCAACGACTTGTACGTGCAAAGTGCTAAGAGAGTCTTAGAAATTACACGTGATGGATCCATGAGATTTGAATATGGAGCTGAGATTATATATATTGCAGAAACATAAATAATAGACTTAACAAGAGAGGTTTTTATAGTGGTTTGGATGCTTAAAGCAAGTCCTACATCCACTGTTATTTTATTGATCTCTGACTATTTCTATGATATTGTCCGTAAGATATACAAAGATGAGGAAACGCTTTGCTTACAGAGAGAAAGAATGAAGCTCAAATCTATGTCTAGCTCTCATATGTCTAGTCACCCTTTTCGTAAAGAGAAGTGTCAATTTATATACCTCTGAAGTCAATGTAATGAGTGTTTTGTAAGTTAACTTGACATATGGACAACTCTCATCCGTTCTTCTCTTAAAATGAGATAGGGTTAGTATAAGATATATTTGAGGTGGTATGGGCTTGACAGGAAGTAAAGTTACTTTTTAGGCATAATAATTTTTTTAAAGTATGGATTTTCTAATGGATCATGGGATCATCTTAACTAGTGACAAAGAAAATGTGATTGTATATTACAAGGCACTGATCCATGGATTCTGCAAGGTGCAAGAGATGGACAGTGCTAAAGAGCTCTTATTTGGCCTGCTTGTGCCCGTTTCCCTGTTATTGGACTTATTCGTGGCTTGTCGATGGTTGCTTCAACAAATGCCATAAAGAAGCATTAATAAGCTCTGGCCTGATTAGTTTTAGATAAATATTTACTCTGTCAAGTCCTCCGCTATTGAATGGAACACCTTAAATACGTATAAAATAGCCGGCAATTTACTATCTCATTATGTTGAAGCAAAGACAACAATAGAATTACGGAATGCAGCATGGCCAAGAAAAGCAAAGCTCCAAGAATGGGGGTGTTGTAGCTTAAACTTTGTTGGAGCCTTTGTCTTCATGCTTGTATGCAATGTTCTGAAAATCAGACCGAACTATGACCCGTTCAAGGGTCTGGTTTCTGGTTTGACCGGTTGGATCGATCATTCGGTCGGTTGGACCGTATTCTATAAAATTTTTGTAGTCCCTGAAGGTTTGAAATTCATCAAAAATACCCTTATATACTCCCTAAAGGTTTGAAATTTGTCTAAAACACCCCTATCGCGCGAAGAAACTGGTTAGTGGTGGTGGCAGCGACGATCGACGGCCAATCGAAGTTGGAATCATGGGGCTTTTGATGCATCGGTTCCGGAAAATCTAATGGTGGTGCTAGGGATTTCTATCGGCGTCGGAATTCGCCGGAATCAACAAAAGAAGCCTAATGGTCGTGTGAACTTTAGGTGGACGGCGAGCGACGAAGGCTGGACAACGGTGACTGAAAATGGTTGGGTTTTGTCGTGGATAAGTCGTCACGTCAAATAGTAGTGTTTTCGCCGTCGAACGATGTCAAAATCTGGCATGATTGAGCGGTGATTGGACCGCTACTCGGCAGTATTCAGGCTGTCCAACTGCGACTTAATCTGGTTTAACAGAAAATGATGGTTTTTATGAGATATTGGACCGCAAAATATCGTTGGCTCCTGGTCCAACCGGTCCGATCGGATGGTTCGGTCCGATTCTCATAACATTGCTTGTATGTACTTGTGCAGTTGTGTTTGGTAAGAGACCTTCCAACGACTTAATTGCTGCAATCAAAATCGGAATAAAGTTCAAACCAAGTAATTGTTTGGTCTAGATTTGAGCCTCCAAGATGTGATTGTATAATGATTTCTTAAAAGCAAAATTTTTATGGTTGAAAGGGATTGTTGGATGGAAGATATAATCAAACAGTTTAACCTTTATTTAAATTTGAAAGTTTTAACAATAATTTAAGTGTGTTTTGTTCTTTTAGTTCTTATAGAAATTGAAGTTGATTGAAATATAAACAATAATGTTAGGTTCATAATCTTCTCTTATAACCTCTGACGTGGTAGCTTGTAATTGGTTAGTTTGCAAGTAGATAGACGGGATCCATAGCAAGCAAACGAAACATATTTACAAGTTGACCAATTATGAGTTACCACATCGGAAATTGTGAAAGAAAGTTGTAAGAATAAGTTATAGACCTAATATTATTCAAATATAAATATTAACCGACCTTTCAAGGGTCGAGTGATTCGATAGGATTTTTAGGTGTATTACTGAAAAGATTTTGAGTTCAAATTTTTTTTCAATTGTTAATAAATGTGGACATTAGAGCTTTTACTTTTTCAATAATTCTAAAATCTGGAAGAATTAGTTAAGCGTAACGACATCTCCTTGTCATGAAAAACAAAATTATATATAAATATTAAATATACTAGTAAAATATAATCGGAAGTTGTCGGTAGAATAAATATCTTTGTAAATTATAATTATCGGAAAAAATATCTTTCCATCGGCTAACTCGAAGGCCTCTAAGTTCTAGTGAAAACTCAGAAGGACTAAATCAATGGTATCCACTCATCCCAGAGGCCAAAACTAGAGTGACACGTGTTACTCCAAAAACACACGTGTCAAGCTTCTGTCCACACACCTCAAGCAATGGCCTGGCTTCAGAACCTATAAATAGTGGCAACTTTCAGCATCTATCGTTCATCACCGATCTTTTATAATTGTTTTGTTTATCATCATCCTCAGTAAACACTTTCCATAAGCAATCAACCAAGACAAAAATGGCAGACAACACCCAGAAGATGAGCTACAACGCCGGCGTGGCCAAGGGCCAAACTCAGGAAAAGTCCAGCGGCATGATGGGCAAGGCCAACAACGCTGCTCAATCAGCAAAAAAATCAGTGCTAGGGGTTGGAAAAATATTTACAAACTCATGTTTTTTTTTTTTTTTTATTTGGTTTCATGAATGTTCGATTAGTCTAATATTTGGTGAATGTATTGCAGGCCGGTGAGCAGGTGAAGGTGCAGGCACTGGGGGCTGTCAATGCTGTCAAGAAGGCAACTGGCATGAAGAAATGAAGCAGAAGCTTAGGGTTGAATAATTTAGAAGCCTGAATGTATAGATAAAGATAAATTCATTTAGATGGACTTTGGTTTTATAATTATAATTAAGAATTTTATAATTCTCTCCAGGTTTTTAGTCAGTGGGTTGCTTTGAGAGAGATTATCTACTTTTCTTTGCTATTTCTTTAATGCAATTCTCTACTAGTTTAACTTCCCAATATTTCTTTCTTTCTTTCTAAATAGTAAATACCCTTGAATTTTATTTTATTTCAAATAAAAATATTTTAAAGGAAATGGAGCAGATGAATTGACACTTATAAAGGAATCTGGGAATTTCAACAAAGTTGGAGTCCTATATTTTCAGTTCATTGAAAAGGTGATCGAGCATCAGAGCATGTATTAGCCTCTTTCGTTGCAATTGGTCATAGTATGCATGGATTGGAACCAGCAGATGATGGAATGTTCCTATTAGAGTTCTTTTTCTGCCATAAATCAAGTTATATGCAAATTCTGGTAAGGTGGAAGGTCGTCTGGCAGATATGGATCGGTTTATAGCTGACATGTGAGGTTCATTTTTTTGAAGTATGGATTTTCTAATGGATCATGGGATCATCTTAACTAGTGACACAGAAAATGTGACTGTATATTACAAGGCACTGATCCATGGATTCTGCAAGGTGCAAGAGATGGACAGTGCTAAAGAGCTCTTATTTGGCCTGTTTCCCTGTTATTGGGACTTATTCATGGCTTGTTGATGGTTGCTGCAACAAATGCCATAAAGAAGCATTAATAAGCTCTGGCCTGATTAGTTTTAGATAAATATATATTCTGTCAAGTCCGCCGGTCTTGAATGGAACACCTTAAATACGTATAAAAGAACCGGCAATTTACTATCTCATTATGTTGAAGCAAAGACAACAATAGAATTACGGAATGCAGCATGGCCAAGAAAAGCAAAGCTCCAGGAATGGGAGTGTTATAGCTTAAACTTTGTTGGAGCCTTTGTCTTCATGCTTATATGTACTTGTGTAGTGTTTGGTAAGAGACCTTCCAACGGCTTAACTGCTGCAATCAAAATCGGAATAAAGTTCAACTCAGTAATTGTTTGGTCTAGATTTGAGCCTCCAAGCTGGTGATTGTATAATGATTTCTTACAAGTAAAAATTTTTATGGTTGAAAGGGATTGTTGGACGGAAGATATAATCAAATAGTTTAACCTTTATTTAAATTTGAAAGTTTTAACAATAATTTAGAAGTGTTTTGCTCTTTTAAATCTTATAGAAATTGAAGTTGATTGAAATATAAACCATAATGTTAAACCTATAACCTTCTCTAATAACCTTTGACGTGGTATAAGTAGATAAGCAAGACTTAGGTAAAACCTCTTTTATAACCTCTAGTATAAGTAGATAAGCAAGTAGGCAAAACCACTTTTGTAACTTCTGATGTGATATAAGTAGATAAGTAGGATTTATAGTAAGTAAAACTTATTTACAAAAGTTATGAGAGAAAGAGTTTGACCAATTATAAATTATGAGATAAAAAATTATAAGATTAAATTATAGTTAATTAACGAACTTTTTAATAATTTGATAAAATTTTTAAATATATTACTTAAAATATAATATATTAATAATATATTCAAGAGAGGTTGTGTCTAAGTCTTTTTTTGTTGCTAATGAAAGTGGATTGGAAGTCTGGAACTCTTGCTAAATTATAGGCTCTCGAGGAAGCCGAACATCTCTTTGTCATAAAGAATAAAATTATATATAAATATTAAATATACTAGTAAAATATAATCGGAAGATGTCGGTAGAATAAATATCTTTATAAATTATAGAGCTGTCACGGGTTATTATAACTGTTCAAAAATATCTTTCCATCGGATAAGACCTCCAAGTCAAAAGGACTAAATCCATGGCATCCACTCATCCCAAAACTAGAGTGACACGTGTCAAGCTTCTGTCCACACACCTCAAGCAATGGACTGGCTTCAGAACCTATAAATAGTGGCAACTTTCACCAATAATTCATCACCAATCTTTTGTAATTGTTTTGTTTATCATCATCCTCAGTAAACCCTTTCCATAAGCAATCAACCAAGGCAAAAATGGCAGACAACAAGGAGAAGATGTGCTACAACGCCGGCGTGGCCAAGGGCCAAACTCAGGAAAAGGCCAGCGGCCTGATGGACCAGGCCAACAACGCTGCTCAATCAGCCAAAAAATCAGTGCTAGGGGTTGGAATAATATTTACAAACTCGTGTTTTTTTTTTTTGGGTTTCATGAATGTTCGATTAGTCTAATATTTGGTGAATGTATTGCAGGCCGGTGAGCAGGTGAAGGTGCAGACAGTGGGGGCTGTTGATGCTGTCAAGAAGGCAACTGGCATGAAGAAATGAAGCAGAAGCTTAGGGTTGAATAATTTAGAAGCCTGAATGGATAAATTCATTTAGATGGACTTTGGTTTTATAATTATAATTAAGAATTTTATATTTCTCTCCAGGCTTTGAGAGAGATTATCTACTTTTCTTTGCTATTTCTTTAATGCAATTCTACTAGTTTTAACTTCCCAATATTTCTTTCTTTCTTTCTTTCTATATAGTAAATACTCTTGAATTTTATTTTATTTCAAATATAAATTTAACTAGTAAAAACATGTTTTATTTAGATTACATAAAATATTAATAATTTTATGCCCTATTTGAAATATAATTTAAATAAAGTTTAAAAAACAAAGGATAATAACAAATTTTATGAGTCAATTTAATTTTTTTTTTAAATTGAATATAGATTAAAATTAAAAAAATTATTGAAAATAGTTTTCAGTTTTCCATAGTTATTAATCTAAAAATATATTTATATCAAATATATTTTAAAATATTAGAAAAGTTAAAATATATAACTCAAAAGATTAATTCGTATATTATTTTTGAATCACAAATCTAAGATTAATATTTTTTTAAATTCGTGTTGGCTCTCCGGCGTTAATTGCCAACACTACCCATCTGTTAACATTTCTTTAGAGTGTTAGGGATAGGGAGAATTGTCACTTTCAACAAGCATTTGCATAGAAGGGTGAATATGTAATTGATCTCTTTTAATCTAAACTACCTTTATACCCTCTTAACAAATTCATTTGACAGTTGCAACTTTATCATTGTTTTCTTTTTACACATGAAATTTAGCGTTTATTGCAAATATCTAAAAACTAGTGTTTTGACACATGTAACCTCAAGAAATATTTTATATGATTTTAATTTTTTACATGCTAAAAGTTTTAAAAGACTAAATCATGGAAATAAAAACAAAACATATAAGTTGAAGATAACAATAAATGTTATTATGTTGTTACGTTACAATACTAAAAATTTATTATTACAAAAAAAAAAAAAAAAAAAAGAACCAAAAATATATAATATAGAAGAGTTTTAATAAAATTCAAATTATATAAATTTGATAATGATATTGTTGAGAAATGAAAGCTATTATTGATTAAGATGTTTTTTCATTCAGATAAAAGCCAAATATTTACTTAAATATGATTGTGAGATAAAAGCTACAAAAATACAAACAAACAAACATAAAATATCTTAATTTATTAAAACATGGTTGCATTTAGACTTAAAAAGGAAAAAAACCAAACCGGTGCTAAAGTTATTTTTATTGGTGTTTTGACATATATGTCATTATGAAGTTATTTTTATATATTTACATGTATGATAACTATATTATTACAAATTATATATATATATACCTTAAAAAAAAAAAAGGGCTAACATGCGGTGATGTTATCTCTACCAATAAGAATTCAATAGATCTTTCTACCAATCAGAATTTGACATGCACCTCAAGACATGAAAACCCAGATTGTCTCAAGAATGCCCATTAGTGAATTTGGTTTGCACACCTATCAAAGTCTTATTTCTCATTTAATTTAAGGTCTTATTTAATTTAAAGATGTACTTGGGAGTTTTCAATGAATAAGAAGGCAGAAAGAATCTTCATGCCATTAGACAACTTGTAAAAACCACCAATTACTTGAGTAAAGCGGGTATAAATAGATAACTCTCTCCTAAAAAAATAAAGGTTAGACAAACACTAATTACATTGAGCAATGGTCCGTTTATAACAGGTCTCACATGGGTCTCATTAATTAATTATAAACTACCACATCAGGGTTATGAGAGAAAATTTATAGGAGAGCGTTGTTGGTGTAGTATTATTTTAAGGGGGTGTTTGGTTGAGGGTAATGTGGGATTACTGGAGTTATGTCATCTTATATTACTTGATTACCACGTTTGGTTGTGAAGTAAGATAAGATTCCGGTAATTTTCAAATACCAATAGTAACTACTATTGGTAATATTGTAAGTAATCTGATTACCTCAATTTTTTTAGGTATTCTAAGATTACCAAGGTAATCTTTTTTTTTTGTTACAATTTTATCCCTTATTAATAAAATTTTAGGACAATAATGGTCTTATTTTTAAATTTATTTATATGACTATGGTTTTTACTATTTCACCCAAATTAATTAACTTTCTGGATAAAATTATCATTGAATTCAAAACATATTGCAGCCCACCTAAGCCACCACCCCCACCCACCTGCCACCACTTGTCGCTGACAACCACCATCATGGCTAGCCGTGGCTGCCGTCGGAACGGAGCACAAAAGGCCAAAAATAGTCGTCGTGCGTCGATATGGCCAATTTCTGACCAGATATCTGGTCAGAAATGGCCAGATCTTGTCGAAAATGGTCATATGGAGCACAAAGGCCATTTCTTGCCTTCCGTGCGTCGATAGGTTGTCGACGAACTACGGTGGTTCCCCGTGACCGGCAATGGCTGGGTTGGTAGGGGTACTTTATTAATTTTTCAAACTTTTATTATGGAGTTATTTTTGCTAAGTTTTTAAATACCGGGTTATAATAATCAAAATCATAATCAATATTAAAAAATAATTTAATAATAATTTTAATTAGAGGACAATTCAGTAATTTAAATAATATACCCATCAATTTATTCCTTCCAACCAAACATATTAATATAATATACCCACTAATTAACCATTTCAAGGTAATCTAACTTTTTATTAATCCAACATTCTTTTAATCAAAAACCCTTTAATGTATTATTGAAAATATGGTCGAATTCACATCTAAATCCTGGACCCAAAAAATAGTTGGATCCGGGTCGGGTTGATCCGG